GGAGGGCGGGGCCAGCCGGGGAGGAGGAGGGGCGGGGCCAGGCCAGGCAGGACAGAGACCCCCGAGCCCCTCCCGGCCGGCCTGCTCTCCGCCCCGCCCACACCTCGGCTCAGTTCAGCTCACCATGGCCCCGGAACCGCACCGACCCCAGACCGCCTTCCGGTCTGGTGGGCTCCAGCAGCCCACGGATTTTCCTCTCTGGAGCAGCCCCTTCCCTGTTCCCAGGCAACGACGATGACGGACAGTCATTTGCCGCTATTGTGGAAACGGAAATCGGGGGGCGGAGTTAAGGTAAGTAGTCAGCCAATGGAGATGCAGCCCAGGCGTCAGTGGGCGGGGCAGACTGGCGGCGTGGGCGGGGCCGGGCTGGGCTGCGGGGAGGAGCGGCTGGGAGGCCCCGTCCGGCTCCTGGTGGGCGGCGGCCGTTTTTTGGAATGGAGAATGGCTACGGATCTCGGAGAGGCTGAGCTGGGCCTGGAGCACCTGGGGAGGGTCGGGGCTGGAGCAGAGGAGCGAGATGTGGGGAAGAGGCTGAGCTGGAGGGTGCAAGGCAACCCGGGGCAGAAGAGTAGGCCCAGTGGAGGCACAGAAAGAAGACAGGCAGTGACCCAGCCGCAGGCCCTCTACTGCTGGGCCTCTGCGGCTGGACATCTCTCAGTGTCCGGGTAGCTCTCCTCTGACGCCCGATCCCACTGGTCCTCTGACCAGAGCCTCCCAACCCGAAACCTCAAGGCCGCCCCGCCTGCACCAGTTCTGGCTTCTTCTCTGTGTCGCCTTCCCCAGTTGGCCTGTCCACTAGCCTGTCCTTTGCCTGCATTCTTTCCTAACTACCATTTCTATCCAAGTGCATTTTTAAACATTTCTTCTGTATGAGAGAGAGAGAGAGCATGCACATGCCAGGGTCTCAGTGCCACCTCCCCTACCCCCAGCCAGCCTGGGATCATGGGCACCATTAGGGACAGCTCCCTATGTAAGTCAGTCTCACAGAGCACGGCATTGGAAACTCGTGACACCTTCCAGCCCCGGTGGCATTTAAACATGCATATGTCTGTCTGGTCTTGATAAATACACTCCCCTTAATCTACAAATGGCCTTCTTCAGCTAGTACCCACTCTCTCCCTTCACTCCAAATCGCTTCTTCAGCTAGTACCCACTCACTCCCTTCATTTCAAAACGTTTTTTAATTTTATTTATTTATTTATTTATTTTTGGAGAGGTTTTCGCTATAGGGCGCATGCGCTCGCCAGACAGAGAGAGATATAGAGACAGAAAACGAGAAATCACCCCCCAGGGGGGATGGTCACGCCGCAATCCCTTCTCCTCCATTCTCCTCTCAGGATCTCGGGCACGCACACACATGCGCCTGGCGTGAGTTTTAAGCCACCGGGTCTGGGACGCGAACCACAGTCGACTACGTGGGAGTCCAGCGACATAGCCATTACGCTAACTGCTGGTTCCCCACTCCAAAACGTTTTAAAACTGTCACCTGGACCAGCCTTGCAGCCTGGTGGTTGGGGAGCCAGATTTCACATGGCCAGCCATGATTCGAATGCCAGCCCCAGTGGCTTGAAAAACACACGAGATACCTGTGCACGCGTGCAGGCTTGGCTGACAGCAATGCCCGAGCCAGGGTCCCTCATGGAGCAGTCCGGCTGGGCACTGAGGACGATGTGTCAGGAGAAGCTGATCATGAGAGGAGCATGCCCCGAAGCCCAGCAGAGCTCTCTCTGCTGCACGCGAGGGCTCCTCCCACAGCTCACTCGGGAGGGTGTCACCCTCCGTCAAGGTTCCTGATGGCCAAGACACACTGGACTTTGCACATACAGACGAGGTCTCTGTTCACTGGCCCTCATATTTTCTTGTTGTGTAAATAAACCCTGTGTGTGCATTTTCAGTAACATCCAGGGCAAGTGTATTTCAGATGAAGAGGCAGTTTCCTACAGGCAAGGCGGACTAAGGGTAAGGGGTCAGGAGTGGCTTCTCAGGCACCAGCATTTGGGGATGGGGGAGCGGCTGGACAGAAAGGAGTATAATAGGAGAAGATGTTTTAAGTGGTGCCATTTGTAGGACCAGCAGGTGGCATAATGGTTATATCACTGGATTGGAACGTAATCATAGTTCGGTTCCTGGACCCGGCGGCTTAAACTCACACCGGGTATGTGTGCGTGCGTGTCCAAGATCCTGAGGGGAGAATGGAGAAGAGATTGCAGCATGGCCATCCCCCCCCCCGGGGGGGTTGATTTCTCACTTTCTGTCTCCCTGTCTCTGACTCTCCGGCAAGTGCATGCACCCTATAGCAAAAATATAGCAAAAATCTCTCTAAAAAAAACAAAATGAGTTTCCATTTGCCGTCTAAAGTGGTGCCGCCCTCATGGCCGTAACAGAAACCGTTTACGATCCCATTTGCTCACCTGCCGGAAAGCTTTTCTGTTTCTGTTTTTGTTTTTCTTTAATTGGGGAGATTTATATTCCTTGCAATTTTGCATATAAAGTGAGACTGATTTTCAAAATCCATCATGCTATCCGTATTAGTTACTGCCCCACTGGGAGTCCACGCACACGCTGGTTGCCCTCTTGGGGGCCAGCTTCTGGTTTTTATGCCGACTTTGGGGCCCGATCCCTCCTTGGCTTCCAGCATTCTGGCCAGGCTTGTCCTGCTCCCTGTGGGTGGCCTTGCTAGTGATGCCCCTGCCCTCTGCCGGGCTTCCCAAGTCTTACTATGACCCTGGCCACGAGGCACCTGCCGTGCTGGGCGTCTGCCCTCTTCCCACCGCTCCATGCTCCCTGCTGCCCATCTCTGGAAATGTGCAGGAAACCCGGGGTTTGGGCTGTGTGGACCTGCTTACAGATGAGCCCTAGGAAGTCTGCCACAAGCAGGAAGTTGAGACGCTTCCCTCCAGGGGAGGCGCTGCCCTCACCCCGTGGAACCTCCAGGAGCTGTGCTATGGTGGAGCCACACTGCTTGTGGAGCAGGGGAAGGGCCGTGTCCTCCCTACTGGATTTAAGTTCGTTTTCACTTACGTGTAAGTGGCCCGTGTGACTGGCAGTTACTGTCTTGCGCGAAGCACCCTGGACTACGGCATAATTTCAGAGTAGAAAATCAAACACAGATGTGCATCCCACCCACTTGAACGGCTGGAATTAAAAAAAAAAAAAAAAAACATTGGCAAGAAGGTGGAGAAACTGAAACCTCAGGCACTGCTGACAGCCATGGCGGAGAGCAGTCCGGCAGCCCCTCCGAAAGTTAGACGCAGCCACCACGTGCTCCCCTGTTCAATCTGTGGATATGCACCCCCCCAACCTCCGCTGTCCTCCCTGGATATGCACCCCCACTCCACTGTCCTCCCTGGGTATGCACCCCCACCTCCGCTGTCCTCCCCTGGGTATGCACCTCCACCTCCATTGTCCTCCCTGGGTATGCACCCCCCACCTCCACTGTCCTCCCTGGATATACACCCCCACTCCACTGTCCTCCCTGGGTATGCACCCCCACCTCCGCTGTCCTCCCCTGGGTATGCACCTCCACCTCCATTGTCCTCCCTGGGTATGCACCCCCACCTCTGCTGTTTGAACCCTACCTCCATTGTCCTCCCTGGGTATGCACCCGCACCTCCGCTGTTCTCTCCTGGGTATGCACTCCCACCTCCGCTGTTCTCCCCTGGGTATGCACCCCCACCTCTGCTGTTCAAACCCTGGGTATGCACCCCCCCCTCCATTGTCCTCCCTGGGTATGCACCCCCCACCTCCGCTGTTCTAACCCTGAGTATGCACCCTCACCTCCACTGTTCTCCCCTGAGTATGCACCCCCACCTCCACTGTTCTCCCCTGGGTATGCACCCCCACCTGAAAACAGACACCTGTGGGGCACAGGTATTTACAGCAGCCCTTCACAACAGCGGAGCTGAGAGAACAACCTCGACGACCTGGATGAATGGCGTGACCGAAGTGGCCCATCCCTGTGATGGAGTGTTATCTGGTAACAAAAGGGACGCGCGATGCAGATTACAGCGGATGGACCTCGGCAACACGTTGCTGAGAAACATGAAGGACCCAGCGCTATCGGACTCCATGTGTGAGAAACATCTAGAAAACGCAAACCTGTGAGGGCAGAAGGCAGATCAGGGTGTGGGGGCCGGGGGAGGGGAAGAGGAACAGGAACGGCAGTGATGGTTCGGGGTCTCCTTTCAGGCCGAGGACCATGGCTGGAACTAGACAGGTGCACGAATCGCTAACGTAGTAAACCTCACTGAGCTTCACACTTCAAAATGGCTACGCCTACGCCTTGTGAATGTCGCAGCGTTGTTAAAGCCTGGGTCTGGGCCAGCCAGAGGCGCGTATTAAGGCAGCTGGACCCCGCATGGCCAAGTGTGGTTCGAGCTGGGAAAGTACACCAGGCACGCGTGCGTGTGCCCAAGACCCCACGAGGATAATGGGAGGAGAAGGGGCTGCAGCATGGCCATCCCCTCTGGGGAATGATTTCTCACTTCTCTCTTGCTCAGCGTCTCTCTGTCTCTGTCTGTCTCTGGCATGCCCTATAGCAAAAAAAAAAAAAAACACTACCCACTTTGAATCTGAAGGTGGTAAAAGGGTCGAGGCTGCGAGAGCTGAGGGGAGTTGGGAAGAGATTGTTGGAGGGCTGACTTCCGTCCTCCGAGAGCGGGTGGATGTCTGCCTCATCTCAGGGGGGAAGGGGACATGAGTGGCCCTTCTCAGAGGGCTACGGCCCACACCTGTGTCGCTCGTAAGACAGCCGAGGGGTGGGGGTGGCAGAGCAGGGGCTGTGGTGGGAAGTGACTGCCCTGTCACTAAGAGGTGAGGGACCTGGGACAGGTGTGCACAGCAGCCTTGGGTCATTGCAGGAGGGGACACTCCACAGGGCCCCAGGAGTCCAGCGGTGAGAGGCTGTGGCCCTCTCAGAGTAACTCAGGAGCCACCTGCCGGGAAGTGGCAGAAGGCCCAGCAGAGGGGTCTCTGAGGAACACACAAGAGTGGCCCCGAGCCCGAGCCAGCAGACGGCCGGACTAGAGCAGCACCCAAACCATGCACGCCTCGCCTGCCCCGGCAGAAGGGACGGAGCCTGCAGCCGCGAGGGAAGCAAGGAGTGGGAGAGGTGGGGCACATCCTGGCTACCGGGTGGCCTCGTGTCACCAAGGGTCCCACGGGGGGAGGCAGAGGGTCAGCACTATCAGGCTCCTGGCTCAGTGGAGGGAGGAGCCCCGGGATCTAGAAGGGCAGGAGTTTCCCCAGAACCTCCACGGAAGGCTTCCCTGCAGACCTCACTCCTGCTTCCGAGCGGGAGGACTAAGGACAACGGCATGGTGTCTTTAGTCACCGCATTTACCACCAGCATTTGACGTGGGGGACAGCTGGGCAGAGGGGACTAAAGGGGAAAGCAGACAGGTGATTCGTTTCAGAGCAATCGGAAACTAAAGCGCCCCACACGAGGCCAGGAAAAGCTTGGCCCAGAACCTCCCCCTCCCGCCTTCTGCTGGAGCCTGGAGGTCAGGCAGCCAGACACAGCAAACAGAGACAGCGCCCAGCTCGTTCAAATTTCAGATACACAAGGAATCATTTTTAAGCATAAATAGGCCCAAATATTGCATAAGGAGTAATTATACTAAGAAAAAGTATTCATTGTTTATCCAAAATTCAGATTTAACCAGGCATCTTGCTGTCATCTGGCAAGAGGAGTTGAAAACAGCAGCTGGAGGGAGGGGGCGGGAGAGAAGAGCCACACCCCCTGCTGTCCACAGGCGGCCACGTGGGGACGGGGAAGGACCTGGTTTTAAATAAAAGCCCATGTTTCATTATCTGGGATGGAATATTTTGAATTAAGGAGTGGAGATTGCCTTTTATCTAAACTGGTGCCAGGACCCGTTTCCTAAGGGTGGGCAGAAGACGAAGGAAAGGTCTGGGCTTTCCACAGGGAGACAAGAGGAACAGGGGTGCCCTGTCCCCCATCACCTCTGAGCAGGCCTGAGGGCGAGGAAGCCGAGTGCACCCAGGCATGGATCTCTAGCCCGGTAAAGGTCGAAGAGCCGTCGCCAGGACTGGCATTGCCCACCCCCACACTAGGGGCCGCCGAGGGCAGGGATCAGGCCCCCTCCATTTCCCAAGCCCAATCCATCCGGGCTGCCTGCGTTGCTGGTCGGGGAGCGCAGCCACAGCTAGTGCCCACCAGGTGGCGCTCCAGGTCCCTGCAAGATAACTCGCCAAGCCCATGATTTCCATCTAAAATATTACTTTTGAAGAGTTTTAGATTTACACGAATACTGGGCATAAAGAGCTCCTGTGTAACCCACACCCTGTCTCACTGATTATTAATTGTTTTTGGAGAGGTTTTCGCTATAGGGCGTGTGCGCTCGCCAGACAGACAGAAAGCGAGAAATCACCCCCCAGGGGGGATGGTCACGCCGCAGTCCCTTCTCCTCCATTCTCCTCTCGGGATCCTGGGAACGCACATGTGCCTGGCATGAGTTTAAGCCACCGGGTCCGGGACGCGAACCACAGTCAAATACATGGGAGTCTAGCGACATAGTCATTCCACCAACTGCTGGTCTCAAGCTGCATTTTACTTTTGTAAACTAGTTTCTGTCTCCTTGACCCATCAACACATTCAGTCAGGTCATTCGAGGGCTAGAAGCAGGCGGACAAGGTTGCTGGCCACATGGTGCAAGAGTGGACACTACAGCCCGGGGGCAGGGCCCAGCGGT